AAACTCAATTAACATAATTTTTACTTACCTCTTGAAAATAAGGAGAATTAATGAATGAAAATTTAAAAGCCAACACATATTCCTTCTTTTTCCTCCTTTTTTTTATGTCTCCTTCTCTGTTTCGGTTTCTTTCTTCGCTTCTTGTCCCAAATGGAAAAATAATAATAGTAAAAATGGAATCTTTATCCTTTATTATAAATGGATAACTATAATATAATTGCAAGTCAAGTCCCCAATCTTTGTATAATGTAACATTTAGTCCTTTACTTCTGATACTAGGAAACTAAATCCATAACTTCATTTTTTATTTTATTTTGGTCATTTAAATATTAGTAATTACAAGTCAAGCCCCATAAAATCATTTGTTCAGCTTAAGTCCTTATTTGACTTTGACTATAATTGAATGGGATGTAACAAGGAAGGTAAAGCTGAGGAAGTTGATGAAGAGAAAGAGAAAGCAAAGAAAAAAAAAAGATTAAGGAAATGTCTTACGAGTGGTACTTCGTAACTAGAAGCCTATCAATATGATAGGAGTATTCTGCTTTCTATAAAAGCCTTACTAATTACCAAGAAGAACACTTGGCTGAGAAGTAATTTTCAATATACACTCTTTTCAATGTGTTCAAGGCAATCGTTTTTCGTTTTAGTTTTATAATAGACATAATTACTTATGTATCATATAAAATTTTAAAGCAGTTACCAAGAAATTGTGTTGTGAGCTGCTAGTTGGCTAGTTGGGTGCTAATGTTATCTTTGAAAATGATGATTGTGGCTTTCCTTGAGCAAATAATTCATTAGCATCACATACTAATTTACTCATGTTAAACACAATAGGTTGCATGTGGTTTTTTTGTTGTGGTTGTGGTGTCGAATGGATTGTTCCGACATTGTTGGTGGTGAATAGCTACAAACTCAAGTAGGGAGGCGGTGGTTTTTGTGTGGTGTTTAGTTTTGAAAAGAACTAGATGTTGGGCGCGGAAGATTTGATACCACATGTTGATTTCAAAGGGTTTAAAGAATGAGATTTAATGATGATGTGAAGTAATAAAGATCACAACAAGAAATAAGATTGAAAGTAAAGAAATAAACAAAGAGAATTTATTGCAGAGAAACAATGTATTATAAGCTGATAATATGTAGACAAATTATAGACACAGCAATAATGCTTAAACAAAACTGACAGAGGAGCTTTGTATTTATAGGCCATGTTTCAAACTCTAGAAGAGTCCTAAAAGGCAAGAAAATATATTACAATTAGGAGATCCAATTTCAACAGGATTTTGTTTCCTTGTTGAATGTAGTTAGAGTCATTTCTAACACCAACAACACGCGATTCAAGACTCCTATTTGAGTTACAACTCTAATAATCTCCACATTGACTCAAATTTCGATGCAACGAGCGGAGCTCCACAAAATTTCTCCACATGAGAGGTAAACCTGTTTGCATCGAAATGAAATGGCAAATCTCCTCAACGTAGTAACAAAAACTCTCCATATAAACCATCATTCTCTGCATGGCATCCACAAGTGACATATGAACCCTATTCTCAGCTTCCCAAAAATTTCACTAAGGATTCAATGTCTACCAAACAGAGTCAAAACATACCTTGTAGCAGAAGCTATACAAAATGCCTGAACAGAAGGCCTTTTGCTAGAACTGTCGTCTTTAATGTCCCCAAAAGCATTACAGACATCACTGACATCATGGTACCTATGCTCAATTGATCCAATCCTAGCAACTGAACACAGTACAACTGCTAAAATTGGTGGCAAAGTGGAATCACCAGTTCTCCCTTGGGCAATGTTATGAACCAACCTAGAGCCTATCACAAGAGGTACTGTATCAAACTGAATATCCACCACGGTACCGAACTTGTTCATATGTCTCTTAATTGATTCTGCGCTCCTCTACAAGATGTACAACTGAAACATTCTACGTCCCTCTAGTACAACCCGGAACCCTTTTGGACATTCAAGACTCTATCTCCACCAGAGAATTTATATCCTTTTGCATCCAGAGTACTCAGGGAGATGAGATTTATTTTTAGGTCTGGAACATGTCGAACTTGATCAATTATTCTAACTGTCCCATCTCGCAGCCTAAATCTGACTTGACCAATCACAGCAATACGGCAAGACTAGTTGTTTTCCATTACAACGCCACATTGCTGAATAGCCTCATATTTCTGAAAGAAATTTCGATTGGAACCATATGATGTGAACATGCTGAATCAAGAATCCTCTTTTTGTCAAGCCTAGATTCCACGTCAAATATCACAGTCAACATCCTATCTCCACTGTCTGAAAAATCCTCAACTACATTTTTTTTAGTCTGAAGTCAAAGGTTGCGCTCCACGATTTGCAGCTATATCACCTTTAGCCTGCAACTTATTGCAATCCTTCCGAATATGTCCCTTACATCTGTAGTAGAAGCAAAACAAATTGTCGTTATTCTACGATCTGCCCCTTCCTCGACCACCATGAGATACAAGAGTTTTGTCATCCCTCGATGTTGCTCCAACCAAATGCTTCAACTTTTCCTTTGAGTGCAAAACATCATAGATGCCGTCTATAGTCAAAGTATCCCAACTATACAAAATGGTGTCCTCAAACGACGCATTAGAGCTTGGCAGCGAATACAACAGGATCAAGGTCATATCCTTTTCATCGTACTTAACCTCCAAAGTCTTCAGATCTGCAACTATTTCCTTGAACACGGCAATATGGTCCTCTAATGACCCTCCTTCTGCCATTTGACGAGAATATAGCCTATGCTTTAGAGTCAGTTTGCTCGTGAGACTTTTAGTCATGCATAACTGCTCCAATTTCAATCAGAAGGCAGCCGCTGTTTTCTCCTTCAAGATATCTTGCAAAATATTGTTGGATAAGTGAAGATGGATCTACGATAAAGTCTTCTGATCCCTCCGTTGTTTCTCTTCCGTTGTCCAATCAGCTGGCATCTTCTCAAAACCTAGCAGTGCATCGTCCAAATCCAATTGCGCCAGAATAACCTTCATCTTTACTTGCAACAAAGAAAAACTTGTACTGTGATCTAGAGTAGAATGTTATACCTCATGGTAGTCATCTGTACTTACCACTTGTTGGGCGCGGAAGCTCTAATACCACTGGTTGATCCCAAAGGTTGTAAAGAATGAGATTTAATGACGATGTTAAGTAATAAAGATCACAATAAGAAACAAGATTAAAAGTAAAGAAATAAACAAAGAGAATTTATCACAGATGAACGATGTATTATAAACTGACAATGTGGAGAGAAATTACAGACATGACAATAATGCTTAAACAAAACTGACAGGGAGCCTTGTATTTATAGACCATGTTTCAAACCTTAGAAAAGTCCTAAAATACAAGAAAATATATTACAATTAAGAGATTCAATTTCAACAAGATTTTGTTTCCTTGTTGAATTCAGTTAGACTCCTTTCCAATACCAACATGACACGATTCAAAACTCTTATTTGAGTCACAACTCTAACATTACATATACGAAAATAATGATTAATATTGGATTTAACACAAACCGTAAGTTATAATTTCTAAACAATTACAGGCAATGTAACAGGATTTAATCCAGAGTATAAGTTACAATTTAAAATTCTAGTTCAGATTAACATAGTGTAATTTACAATAAAAAATTGACATACATTGTACTAAAATTACTTACGCTGTAATTTGCTATGTTTTTTCTTTAAGCAACAATTTGTATTTTAATATTACCATATTTAAGAAAAATCAATATTTTTTAGTTCAATCCCTATATTTTCTTTATTTATGTAAATTTCTCGTCAATAGAGTTCTAAGTTCAGTGATTCTGTGCTTATGTACTCCAATAATTAATACTATGATGATTGAAGAACAATTCAAGTCTACTCATCATGAATTGATGACGAATATTCTGTTATGTGGTGAAGCTCTTCATTTCTTAATCATTTGGATTTGTCAACAATACTGAGTACCATGTAGCTCGGGGGTGGAGCCCAATGAACACTAAACTTTTGGGCCAAACCCCCAAAGGCCCAAACAATTTATTTATTATATTTTTTTTCTAAGAATAAATCGTGTTAAAGAGCGTAATTTTGGAGTCTGTGGAGCCTGAAGTTGTGGGGGAAGATTTGTAGCTATTATATTGTCCTAAATTGATTGCGTGTCTTGTTATGGTTGGTCAATGAACTGCAAATTACTAACTGATAATTCATAGGAGAAAGTGTATTAGTAGTCCTCGCTCTCTAACGTTTATAGCAATTTGATCACTAAACTTTCAAATGCATCTCTATTACAATTGTTGTCCTTATGAAGTATGAACATGGTAATTTTTATAAACAACTAATTTTAATAAGACATTTTATCGAATTTTAACCATTCGAGTTCTCAATTTAAATTAAAATCAACAATTATTTTGACAACTTATTTTAGCAAATCCACAACATTTTACCCACACATTCCATAATTTTTTTTTATCAAAATATACTAAATATATGAATCTAAATCAGAAAGGTGACTTAATTTGATTTAAATTAATTGTTATTAAAAAAAAAAATATTTTGTAATTTGTAAGACAGTGATTGTGTGAAAATGCTAGAAATATATATTCTTAACGAAATAATTGATTGTTTAAAATAAAATGATATCTCAGTTTAGAAAGAAAGAGTCATTCCACTGAGAATTGAAAAAATGAATTTATTTTTTAACTTTTCGTTTTTAATGATCAGCTTAATAGGATCCACCTTCATGTAGAGAAATATATATTTTTTTGAAACTCGATAATGAAGTTATTGTACAACGATATCAGATTAGGAAAACTAGCAAGGGACAAGTGTAATATATAAATTATGTCATTTTTTGGATTATCGTAATATTGTTTTATATTTTTATCATCATTAAATCCGTGACCAAAAACTCGACGCTCAACGTCGACATCGATAGAATTTTGTCCGCACTGAACTATTATCCTAATTCCGCCATTGATGTAGATGGTATTTAATTCCCACGTCTATTACTATTAGTAATGATAATGTATGTTTTTACATTCATGAGACTTCCCGTTTAAATACGAGATGGCAATTAATCATCCATTGGCTAAGATAAAGAAATATACACCAACTCAATGATTTTCATTTGTGGATCCTTCAGTCCTTTGCGAATTTTGATTTAGATTCACAAGCTCAATTTCAGGTTCAACCACTTCAACTATTTCTGCTTGCGAGTCTATCATCATATTTTCCACCGGATTCACTTGCACTTGTGGAGAATTATTTAAATAAAGGCTTTGGGGAATTTGTGGGAAATTACCATGTGATGAGACTTTCTTCAATCTGTCCGTACACTCACCATCACAGATGTTTCTTCCAGTCAGTTCAATGTTCCTGCTATGAAAACTGAGATGTTTATCGTCAAAAAGTCGACGCAGCTTTACTATTTTGCTCCATATTGAGGAATCGCGATCAGTGCATCGTAAGACAGTCCAGTGTTCATGTAGAAACGAAATGACATAGATTATAAGAGCCAAAAATGCTGCTAGTCCGGCTATTAAAAAAAGTCCCCAAAAGCTCTCAAGACCGAGGCTGTTGGTGTCGGAAAAAAGTGAGGTGTAAGAATCTGGGCATCTACTTTTTCCCCCAAACCACGCTCTTTCGATTTCCGTCATCTTCTCTCCCTCTGTCACATTTAATATTGCTCTTGAGACGTCGGCTACTAGAGGAGAACCCATAGGGAAAACCTGAAAAGTCAAAAGGATAAATATAAATAAACTCAGAATTTCATGAAATGTGACCTCTTTTTGCAGCGGGTGGGGGGAGGGGTGATACAGAAAGAAAGAGGGGTTACTCACAAAAGCAAAACCATCAGTCTTATATGTTGGCCCAACCATGGTATACTTTGAGCAATATTTGGCGAGGAAAAGCTTCATAAATGGTATCTCATCGAAAGCAGCAGCGATGCCACCATTTCCACTCCCTTTTGAGAAAAGTTCATCACAAGCCTCTAGAGACTTGTATTGTACAAGTCTAGATTCGTCAAAATTCATTCGTTTTAGAAGATCATAAACAAACGAGCCCTGTTGATATCCCACATATTTTTTGTTCTTAAGAAGCTGATTTACATCCGTAACAGTTGGCAGGAGTTGATGAACTGTCAACGTTGATGTTAGACTGGCAGTGTAACTTTGGATAAGTATAAGAACCACCAAGAAACAGATGATCAGCACAAACCTAGCCAAGTTGTTTTTTATCTTCTCCACTACAAAAATTTATGTTGAACCATCAGTATCAAAATTGTATATACAATTGAGCTCAAAGATAAAATTATGCTTAGTTCTAATTATCAGAAGTACATGATATATCTTTTCTAGCCCTCCTACCAAATGTGTTAAACGGCCATATAAAAGATATTGAAGTTTTACTTTTCCAAATCAATTAAGCCTTGCAGCAAAATCTGCCCTGAGGTACTTTAAAGATTTCCTGCATTTTGCCCCTTAATTTCTGATTCTGAATCCTAACTTTTTCTTAAATCAGCCGAGTTTTGCAGCATATCTGACAGGAAGTGCTCTGGAGATTTCCTTATTTAGCCCCTTAACTTCCGTTTCTTAGAAAAGCTGGTAGGATTGTACATTTTCATTATTTCTTCAACTGTCCTAATGCACATTGTAAGTTGGAGAATAGTGAACTTACTATGTGCAAAGACCATGGTTGAGAAGGCAAACCAGAATATCATGCCAACTTGATGTGAAGGTGGCCCCCTGAAATCTTCATTTACTCGATGTTCAAGAAGCCAAATAAAAAATCCGATGAAGACAAAAGAACAAAAGGTTGTCAACCAAAGTTCCCACGACAATGGCTTCAAAAATGCCCAAGCATTTTTCCCCTTGCTAACCTTGATTGGCACAACCATTGAAACACCAGATTCTGTATACGGCAGAGTAAAATCCACATACTGAGATCTATTCGCTATAATTGTTACATCTCCAACTGCAGTATCGTAGTTCTGTTCGTTAATCAGTAAAAAAAAATTAGAATTACATTATTGGTGGAGATCCTGAATAAGATAAGCAGCAAGTTTGTGTGAAGAAGTGTGTGATACATTATTTACAAAGCGATTTTTCTAGTTAAATTCAAGAAGATGAAGAGACTTACTCCAAGGTACACTTGATAGACCAAATCATTGTAACTACCAGCACTCTCGTGGTCAGGTGTTGCAAATGGAATGTATTCATATGGTATGCCATATGGCAATTTTGCCATTACTGCATCAAAGACATCTATGCAGTATCCTTTCACTTCTGTGGAGTTAGAGGCAGAATTCCAAGAAACTTGAAGGAATTCAGAGAAACCATCCTTCACAGGTACTCCTATTCTTAACTTCTTTCCATTGGTAGGGATCTTCCAACCCTTGGGTGGTGAAGTTGTGTCACCAGGCCATATAATCGATCCATAATTGTTCTTGGAAGTGGAATATGCCTTTGTATTTGAGGAATTCAGTTCTTTAACAATTCCAGTTTCTTTTGTCCAATATCCTACAACTCTAGCCCCATGCCCAACTAGATTAACTATCTCATAAGGAGATGACTGGAGTTGCCCATCAAGCAATTGAAAATTTCCAGCAAGGCCTTTGAATGTGGTATTTGATAGTGCTTGGAGGAGCTCCGGACCATCTTTAGAGATTCCAAACCTTTCGAGGTCCGTTGCATTTCTAGGAACATTAAACATTTGAAACTTATCATTTGTAAGTCTCGCCTTCTCTGTTGCCATGGCCAGTGCTGTTACAGAATCATAAGCCCATAGCCCAAATATGTTTAATTCAGGATTCAAAATTAGATTTCTTCGCTGCCTTCGAGTGGTAAACTCGTGAAGCTCTTTCGTTTTTGGAACGTAAGGTTTTACACCTATTACACCTAGCATAGACTCTATGACAGAAGTATCCATTGAATTCATATCATTTGTGATGCCATCAGTTATAATCCATGCGTAGTCTTCACTCATCATTCCAAGTTGTTTTGCTTTGGTGAACAGCCGGGATCCAAGAGAGGTCAGCATGTGGACAATGAAAACCCGAGTTTGCATCGTCATCAGCTTGTAAAGCTCTGCAACAATTTGATCATCTGTGGCCATGGAAGGAATTACACTTCTGTAAGGAACACGAGCATTGACATTATCCAGAGCATCTGTCAGAAAAGGTATGATCCCTTTTCCAAACTCATTATCGACATAGATAGGCACTACTTTTCTCCATCCAAATGCTTGAACAATTGCAGTAATTGCATTTACTTGGTATGAATCCTTTTGAGTTACACGAATAAAGTATGGACTCCGAATTGATGAAAGAGAAGGACTTGTCGCTGCATATGAGATGATGGGAACTTGAGCTTTGTATCCAAGATCAATCAGGAAGTTTGCTTGCACTGAATACGGGGGTCCTATTATGGCTTTCACTTCCACGTTCTTCAGTAGGTCTAGAGCTGCATTTCAGTGAGTAACAAAGTTGAGTGCCAAATTTCACTAAGGCTAGGCAGTAGCTGGAAAGCTATAGGAAAAGAAAGCAAGGGTATCACCCTTGAATAATCTTTCTTCCATGATTAACTTATAGATAGTTTTTCATTTTAATTTATCCCTTTTTGCAAAGGTTGAAGAGTTACTAATCAGCCCTAAGTATTGCCGTTGGTCTTTTAAATATTCTAGGTTAGGAATGCTATTCACTGAGGCGAACTGGCAGGCGTCCTGCCACAGTAGACAACATATTATTACCGAGTAATGTATAAATGTTGAGAACCAGAGGTTCAATGCGGACGGTTCTAGTCTCTGTTTTTACCCACTAGGTCTCTTATATGTCAATACTAAAAGAAACATGCAAAATACTAACTGATGATACTATTGCTTTAAATATTTGACGTAGAAGTTCATTTTTCTCTAATTATTGTAGACAAGGTGTTAATGGATGTATTATCCCATATCGGTTTAGTACCAAAATAAATACCAATTTATAAATATCTTGGGATTTTCCACTTAATAAAGTTAACTTTATTAAGATGGACCTTAAGTCTTAATATGGTATCAGAGCCATCATATAAATTTCAAAATTGGTCTACTCAAATGAGCCACCATCTTGAAGGGACCTATTAATAGATGTGTTATCCCACATCAATTTAATACCGAAATAAATACCAATTTATAAAGATTTTAGACTTCTCCACTTAATAAGATTGACCTTATTAATATGGATCTTAAGTCTTACTACAAGGGACGGTGTGATGATGGAGTTCTGTCTATTAAATTAACTAATTTTGGGTTTTATTTATTTATTATCATTATTATTATTATTTTAAGTAGTAGGGTCAATTTATAAGAATTTGGGTATGGTACTTTAGACCTTACATGTCGGCAGATATGGCCAACCACCAGCAAAACATAAAACAGCACACGAGGAGAACAAAGAAACAAAAGGCTCACATGAAGATCTCATTAGTTTGGATGAATATGAATTATTGAAATTGGTTGTGGCGTCTCCATCCTCTCCCTTCCCCTTACCCCCTGAATTTCTATTGCTTCTTCGGTTTCTTTCCTCCTTCTCTCTGGTTCTCCCTCCCTTTTTTGCTATCCTCTTCTTTGTCCTTCATCAAATTTGCTATCCTCCAAAAAATTCAAATCTCCTATTCAAGATGAAACTCTCAGCAATCTCAAGAACCTTGTTTCCTTCATCTTACATAGACTCTTCCATAAACTTCAGTTTACTTCTATAGGGCTAAACTCCAAGAGAGTCAATTTCATCTCGATATTCTCCAACTGATTAAGAAGTAAGATATTTTCACTTTTCACTGATCAATGTCTTTGGACAAAGCAAACTGTTCATTCTTATCAAATTGAAGCTCCTTTCAAGATGTAGAAGCTCAGTATCAGTTCTAGCAATATAAACAGTATTATTTATTTATTATTTTTTTTTCCTGGCTTGCTCTAAATCGTTAGTGAGTCTGATAACATCAGCTATTAAAGAGCGTCCCTAGCAACTAGAGCCTCAAAACCTTTTGTTCATCTCCTTCTTAACTTCTCCCAGCTTCCTTTAGAGAGCTGCGCGTTAGTTTTCTAAGGAGTCCATCTTTTTTTCCAGTTTATCAGCTCATACGGCACAAACTTCATGCTCCGCCTACTGATCAAGATAAAGGACGGCGGCTGGCGAGAGGAGAGCATCAATCAGATTTACCCTTAGCTTCGGAATCATATTCTTAGAAAATTTCTTCCAAATGGAGTTAAAATATAAGCAAGTAGATCTAGCTGACCTAGAAACAAGCAGGAATCAAGGATGAAGCTTTGGGGTCCAGCTCCCTGTCATGGTGGACATCAAATAAAGCCTTGAAATCTACAATATGCTTAGATCTTTCCGGAATTTTTCTCTTCCCCTTTGCAGGGTCCCTTGTCAAAATCAAAGATTGGGAGCCAGATACCTATGAACCTCCGGCCTCTCGAAGTAACAGAGTCGCTTAGCCCTCGTGCTAAGCTGCTCTCTTGTCTCATTGGGAACCTACTACGAGTATATCTTTAGAAGAAAGAAGACCTAATTTTTAGTGCTTAAAGGCAGTGCTAAAGTCAATCTTTGTTGTCATGGTAAACTGAATGATAGTATAATCTACCTAAGTAGAAAAAACTATATAAACTAGCATCGAAAAGATATTTGGGTGAAAATGGAATTAATGTTTTCCTAAGCATCAAGATTAACGGATGTTGGTAGGGGTATAACCCCAGTTATCAAAAATAAGGAAAATACCTCTTTTTTCTATATGGAGTATTAGAAGCAAAAGATTAATAAAGAAAAGGGAGCTGAAAATCCCATATTCGACAAAGATTCATAAAAAGCTATATAAGCATAAGAGAAGGTGTTTAAAGCTACTTTTGGCAAAACAAAGTTATAACCTCATTCCACCAAGTAAAGATTAATGAGGCCTCAAAATTGCTCGTGGTCGTTAGAACATGCTTACCAGACTAACCCTCCAAACTCGAATGCTTCAACACATTCTGTTACCCTAAGTTGGGAGATGAGACCCAGCATAACCTTAGAGGTTACAAAGGAGGTTTTACAATGAACTCAACTTCAAAACTCTAAACTTCTTCAAAGAGTACCATTTGCCCGGGGTCATCCCCATGGCAAGCACGTTCAGAGTAAAAAGAAGAACATTTTACAAAAACAACCCCCAGAAAATAAGAGGTATGAGATAAGTATAAGCACAAAGCTAAATAGAGGAAAAAGAAGATAGTGGAAAAAAAGTAGGCTCACAGATAGTAGAAATATTGCCGCAAAATGATAGATACAAGCATGAAGTAGAGAAGATGATGATAAGAAGAATGATGTATTTATAGGTTTAGAAGAAAGGTTCAAACCTTCATTAAACCAACTAAAGATTGAGGCCACTCAAAAGCTTCTTGTAATCGTGCTCACAAAAGGCTAGCAGATGCTTCACCGAGTTTTAAAATTGAACGGGTAAGGTTAAACGTGGGCTACATGTGCTTTAAATATTTATAGGGCACTACCTTGGAAAACTGTAAAATGGACCCTTATAGTATACGTTAAAAATATTTAGTAATCATAGCATATCCCTTAAAAAATGGCCCATGTCACATACCACTCAGAAAGCAACCTTTCACGAACCAAAGGTTCCTTGCGTGAACAAAGAAGTAACAAGTCCCAAAGTATTAATTAATATTAAATTCGGACACAGGGGACTATTTATTAGACCTCGCAGTCCGTAGACTTGGTCAGCCATCAATGAAATATAAAATAGCACACGAGGAGAATGAAGAAACAGAAGGCTTGCATAAAGATTTCGAACCGTTCGTTAACTACATGCTGACTATAGGTTGTCAATAAGGAGTCATGGACAAGTGAATAAAATGTGTTTAGTTAAGAAAGCAACAAATAAGAAGTCAACACCCAACACAATGCAGAAATGATCAAACTATCTCAATATTCGAAGAGAAATATATAAATACCCTCATGATTGATGAAGATGTATGCAATTCAAATATCTTCCTCTCAAATATTTATTTCTCTTCCTGTTCTAGTTAAAATATCTAAACTAGTGAATTTAGAAAGTGAAACTCATAGTTAGGTAAGATAATTTATTGATTGTATTTATATTTGATCTTTGATAATAAAATCATTTGATCCTATTTTTACCATCAACGGCTACCTTGCATAAAGACTGGAGAGGGCTTTATGGCCATGGAGCACGAGACGAAGGCTAGGATGTATATGGCTTATGGCCTAATATAGTTACACAGTTTAATAATAATGTGGCACATAAAAATTTGATGTTTAATTAATTTTTTTTATTAACTTCTTTTGGAGTCTTCTAGTCTTCTGGTTAAAACGGTATTGTAAACAAACTATATGGTATTAGATAATAGTTTTTATGCAAGTTGTATTCATCAATGGAAAGTAAATTTTTTTTTATCTGTTAGAGTATATTGTGATGTAAGAACAATATTTTTCTATTACGCCCCTTGCATAGCACCCTGGCATGTCTGTTTCAGTAGTCAACTGAAGCGCGTAAGCATGAGGTACATCCAAAATACGGTATGTTCGAGGCGCAACATTCTTCATATATCGAGGCGTTGCTTCTGAAGCATGTGAACGAGGCGCTATGTTGCGGAGAAGAGGAGAAGCACCTCTCCACCGCCAGTTTCAGAGATCTTTTGGTCAAGATTTTATCTGTATCTGTAGGAATGATTGATGTGACATCTCTGTCATATGTCAACTCAAAATCAGCATAATTAATTGCCCGCCCACATAGGAAATGATTGATGGACGCCTACAAGCGGACACCTCACATCGTCGGATAATCACATGTGTCTTATATTTAGCGGTGCCCTTTGCCTATAAATACAAAGAACTTAGCTAAGAAAGGTAAGTAATAGGTCCATGTTGCTCCACAACTAAGAGATGTTCTTTTCTCCTCCCCCTTTGGTTTGTGCATCCTGGCATCGCCGCCATCATCGTCGACTGACTTGATCGTCAGAGTGTATGTGGTCGCCACTACAACCTTTGGTATCGACCATATATGCCTGACCGTTTGTTACACATAAGGAGGAACACATGGAGTAGCTCATCGTTTGCCACGTGTAGGGTCCAATTTGCGGGATCAACAGTTTGCCACCGTCTGTGGGAAGCCAACCATCTTAGTGTTTCCTGCTCATCGTCGGAAAAAGCCACTGGATAATTTAGAGAAAAGTTTCCCCTTAAAAAAGGACGTTCTTGAAAAAGAACTAAGTGAAAACTAGCAACCTAGTTTGAATATCCTTGAAGAGAGTTAAGATGAGTTGAAGTAATTAAGATATTAATCCTAGAAGGATGAGAGACACCTATGAAGAAGAGGTATTGCGAACAAATGTTACACTCCGGAGACCTCACCATCACCGTCGTTGAGGCGGTGGAGCAACAACATGACTAATAGCAAAGGTAGCCCAGATTGCTACAAGTATGAGGGACATTGCAATCCAGAATACGACCGTGCATGAGCTCCTCATGATGGTCCAAGGCCAGTAGGGCCTCCAAATGCCTGAAAGGTCTCGCTCAACTCAGGAACAACTATCTGCATCGCATAGCAGCAGCCACCGATGAGAGCCCCCTATTGAAAGGGAAGTGGGAGTAAATGTCACTTCGTATGCGGTAGGTACACATGCAACAGATCCTTAGTTGGGAGAGAACTTCCCACTGGAATACGAGCCCCAGAGGTAGGTTAGGGTCTTTGACCGAATAGGGCGAAATCGAAGCAGCAGAGTTCTCTTCATCCGAAGGTCGGTCCAACAGGAGTAAGAACCAAATCAAGGGTTTCAACCTTCTCCGTATAGAAATAAGTGTGAGAGAAGGAATTTGGTGAATTGGGAAAGCCAGGAGGACGTTTCCTAGCTTCCTTCCCAAAATGAGCCAGATTGAAATAATTCTGAAGGGGTCGTGTTGGTCATATGAGATTGATGATGACGATGAAAACCTTCCCTTCTCTAGAGAAATTCGAAGCTTTCGAATGCCTATGAAATTTATGTCCTCAAAATTCTAAAGTATGAAGGAAAAGACATCCCAAAAACCACCTCAACAAATATATAACGTAGATGAACCTAAGAGGAGCCTTCTCAGCACTAAAGTGCAGGGCCTTCCACCCGACCTTAATAGGAGAAACAAAAATCTGGTAGAATCGGTTGCCACATTAAGTATTAGAAGCTGGCCTAACCTAAAGAAAGCCTTTTTGAACAAGTGTCTGTCAAGGAGAAAAGGAAAGACCCCAGTACAACGCTTGCAAGACATGAGGTAGGCCTAAGAGAGACGATAAAAAATTACCTTGTCAGATTTACCGATGAGATCACATACTGCAAACAAGTCACAGATAGAGAGGCCCTTTCAGCTTTGAAAAGAGGCCTGAATATGAACACTTTATTTTAGCGAAATGTGCAAAGCAAGAACCCTGCCATCTATGACGAACTGGTAGAGATGATGAGGGTGGAAATCGTCGATGAGAACATGATTGACCACAAGAATTGTGTAGTGTAGGGACTCCTACTGTCTCAGAGGCAAGTAGGATGAGAACGTGCAATACATCTCGTCACCCAACATTGGACCCAAGCTAAACGCACTGTAGAACCCACGTCTGGGCAGGCTCTAGCTTCTATCACACTGATTGCTGTGCCCGTATTAGCATAAAAGAATGTTAGTCCCAGTGCAAATGTCGAAGTAGGACCGTTGAGGAGGCCGATGTAGGAGAGCAAGAAATCAGCTTGCAATGGAGGGGGCAAAATATTGTACTTTCCATCACCTCTATAGCAATGACACTAGCGATTGTTGGGATGCCCCATAGTCCTCACAGAGAAGCAAAACACATCCCTTGAAAAAGACCAGAATCGTGAGAATCCTTGGCGGTCCATTTTATCCAACAAAGATGGGAGGTGACACACCTAGAAGGAGAAGGAAAGAAGAGAAAGGACCTGTGGAGAATCCAGGTAAAAGGATCAGGCCACAGCCACTGAGGGCGAGCTGATCTATGAAATTAACACAATCATGGGAGGCCCCCATACGGGGGACAACACTCAAAACGCCTACCAGTACTACACGAGAGAGACAAAAGATCCCCTATGACTAGTTATATTGTTCGCTAATCCCAACAAGTGGACAAAGTAAGACCAATCACCTTCTAACAAGACGATGTACGAGGTATGCATCACATAAATTGTGACACATTGGTTGTAAGAGCGGTTGTAGCTGGGAACGGACTGAAGCACATGCTTGTTGATAATGGGAGCTTAGTGAACATACTATTCGGCTTTACTTTCGATAAGATACAAATTAAGCATGGCCTGATTCCTATGATTGACCCTTTGAATGGCTTCACTGGTGACAGTATCATCCTAAGGGGACGACTCACATTAGCAGTTGAAATGGAAACCACTCCTCTCGTGGCTCATCATCTTATGGAATTCCTAGTGGTAGATTTGCCTACCATGGTGTATTAGGGAGACCTGCCTTGAAGGAGTTGTGGTTGTCACCTTAATTCACCACCTATACATAAAGTTCTTACAGAGCAAAGTATTGCTATGATTCGAGGAGTCAAAATGGGATCAAGTGAGTATCACCTCAACTCCCAGCGAAATTTCGAGCCCACACAATAAATGTCATCATAACTGACATCAAGGCTGAGGCCGATGTGAATGCTGATGCCCTTGAACACGGGCATCCCCTGAACAAAGGAAAGACGTTGAAATGATCGAGGCCCCTGAAGAAGGGCTCCCTC